CCTATTAAATACCTTTCAATAAAAAGTTATTATCAATAGGGGTACTTTTAAAAAAAAGGCCATGATTACACTTCAAAAGATTAAAAATACTTTATATTTTTTAATATCCAACTCTTTAAAAAATGCATTATATTTTTGAACAGAGGGAGTACTCCTTTTAGTTTTATTTTATAAATAACTTCCAATATATTTTATTGGAAGTAAAGAAAGTGTTAATTTTTTTAATTCTAATAAGTTTTTAGCTTTATTCCTATTAAATAAATATATTTTAATAATATATTTTCTCTTATCAACATTTAATAGAAGGTAAAAGGAAAAATTTATGATAAAAAATTAATCAGTTGACTTATAAATAGGATCAAACAAATCCTATTTTTGCATTATAAATAGGATAAGTAGGAATAAACAATAATGGATGTTGGTGCTTTGCGTCTTTTTCTCTAGGGAAAATAACGATAAGGTCCTAAAAGGTTTAATTAATAACAAATAGGTTTTTGATATTTTTTTAAGCAATGAGTTAAAAAAATTCTGTTCAAACAATTACAAATTCAAGGATGTAAATATAGATAACATATTTATAAGTTTTAAAGGTAGTTCTCATATTGTAATGAAATTCATGTTTATAATTGTCTACATTTAAAACGCATTTGTTTTAAAAAAAATTTGCTAGAAAATTAACTATCACTAATTCAATATTTTAAACCTCATTGTCATTTTCTCTTTAAGCCTAAAAGCGTGTCCAACTTACCTAAACTTTATTCCGTTAAAAGAAAAACTGTAAGCAAACTCACCTAAACTTTATTCAAAAAAAACAACAATTATTGTTCTCTCTTTTTTAATTTTTTTATTTGGGTGCAAAGGAAGTCATTCACTATCAATTAAAATAACATTTTTTATCAAACTTTGTTGGAATTTGTGGATCTGCCTTTGATGGAAATTATATTATAATCTTAGAGCAATTAGTGAATCTAACAAGATTTCGGTAATAATGATTTGACCAAAATCTGAAATCAATAAGTGATTTGATTTTTGATTGAATTCCAAGAATAAGAAATATTCCTCCGCCCTTATGGTGATTATTCCAATCAATTTTCCCTCTATAATCAAGCAACTTAATGTTGAGGATTTTTCTTTTCTATAGTGACCTCCCCTTCACTATCAATAGAGGAGGATAGCTAAAGGAAGAACATGTACCCTAAGGCAAACAGTTCCCTCCCATTGTTCAATCTAGAAGTCTAAATTCGTGATAGTTGAGTAGATTTTGCTACTTATAGATTTGGTTAGACTTTGGCCCAACTTTGTTATTTGGTATATTATTTATGTCTAGTATTCCTTCAAACTTAAATTGGCATGTACAGTGTACGTAGTAAGAACTTTCATTACTTAAGGGAATATTTGAGGATTTAAATCTCAAATCTTATATATATATATATATATATAGATAAATAGATATAACAACAACAATCTAATTAGAGTAGATTTACCCCTTTACTTTCAGTACCTAGTAGATTCACAACTATATTGTCTAACAAAGTATACACCAACCAGTATAAATCCTTCTAGAATTAGAAACTTCTAAGCAACAAGAGAGCAAAGATTGTCATGAAAACGTAGGATTATCTTAATGGCGTGTTTGAATTAATGGGGATTTGGATTCAGATTTAGATTTAGACCAAATTTCTCATTTAAATACACAAAAATTTATTCAAATTATAATTTCAAATTTCCTCTACACTTTAGTTATTTGACATTCAAATCACACGTTCTCTTCTCGTATTCACCATTAATACCATCATGACTTTTGTATATTTTCTCATCTTTTGCCTATTAAAAATTAGAAATAAACTCATCGTTTTTAATTTTTAATTTTTATTTCAAATCTCAATTCATCTCTTTTCTTCATTTGAAATAATTTACACTACCCAAACAAATAATTTTAAATACATGAATTTCAAATGTGAAATTTGAAATATAATATTTTAAATCTAAAATTCAAATCTAAATTCATCAATCCAAACACTACCTAAAGGGGAATTGTAAGTTGTAAATCAAACTAGTTCAAATTGAGTTGAATCTTTAATTAAAATTTTAAGATATATAATATTATTTTATTCTACACACTACTACTTTAATTTAGAAAAGTAGCTAAAGCAATGGTAATAAGCTTTAAGATAGATCTTTAAGGAACTTCGAAGCAAAGCATTGATCATATATCTATATATTATTGAAAGTAAGATTACCATGACTATGTATGTTTTCCATGGCTCGTGTTGAGCATTCATACTATAAATAATCAAACATTGACTACTTTTTGGTCTGTAAAGTAAATTGTTAATTTGTATATATAGCCAGGATGCTTTCCAAGAATATCGTTCAATTACTTATGATCTATTATGGCCCCGTTTGGATTTGTTGCATCCTCTTTTCAAAATTCAAATCCCAGATATTGTTTGGATAATTATAATAAGTGTAATCTGACTTTCCAAAAAAATTATACATTATAGATCAAACGGTAATTGACTAGCTAGATTCAAGTGTTTGAAATACTGACCATTTATTTGAAAATTCTACGTTATTGTCGAATGCTCACCATTTATTTGAAAATTGAGTCAGCCTTATATATAATAATTAATCTAAAAAAATCTCGGTCCCTATTGGCTATTACTTATAGTATTAGCACCACATGTAATTCTGCTTATTTATTATTTTTTGTTGCTTGAACGATTTTACTTTATATTGAAGTCTTTCTCTAGCTACACGAGAATGTAAGATGGCTAATTTCAAAAGCCAACTTCTGAAAATATATGACAATTAAATCAACTTATTATATTTTTAAAACAGAATTATATATCTGAAAGATTTGCCCATTTGGGGATCACATCATTGTTGATCTAATAGAGCTAGTAATTCAAGTGAGTCGGACTTATAAATTGACTTTAATTTAAAAATTATTATAAAATTAATGGCGTTAAATTTATTAATTATATATATGTAATATTTTTGATAAATTATTATATTTTTTCCTAATATCGGGCTTATATGGGTCAATTAATTTAGATGGTAGCTTGTAAGTAACCTTTTGAGCGCCCACATCAGGAGGAATTTCCCTTGATCTCCTGCTTTCACTACCTAAGCTAGTTTCATATGGCTTGAATAATAAATTATTCTTGAACAAAGCTGTTGTCTATATACATCACATTTAAATTGTATATGCTCGATCGTCTGTATATTGTTATTATTATTTCTTTGTGTTTTTTTAATTATAGTGTTAATTGAAGAATTATACTGAAGTGTTTTCCAGCTCATGTGCATGTAAGACAGTATTTTCTAAAGCTAGTCAACTTCTGAAAATGTTACTCGCTAATTTAATTATTAAATTCTACTATATGATAATAATTAGTAATCCTCTATTTCCAAAAGATTTATATTTGGATATCATATCCATGTGCTTGCAATTTGCATGTTGGGCCTGCAGTCAATGCTTGATCAACGAATATTAAAGAGAATATCAATGAAAGACCTCTAAAATGATTTAATATCAAACCAAAATTTATAATAAGTAAACATTAACAATTGACAAGTGAAAGTTCAAGTTTTGACAACAAGCATCCGATTTGTCTAAGTCCTTGTCTAATATTAAATTAATTTTGCAATCCTTCATTCATATTCTTCCCATGTTATGCTCAATAATATTACTTAATTTACTGTTATAACACTTAAAATTTTAATTTTATCATATACACGCAAATGGGTCAAGATGATTGGCCAAACGCTCTCTCTCCCACATCAAGATTGGCAACTATCGTGAGGGAAACAAATTTGCTGACTTTTTAGCCTCTTTCGCACTTAGTTTGGATGTGGGAATGCACTTTGGGCATAGGGCAAACACATTTATGTAATAATAGATCCTAGCTGGATCTTTCTTCCTTGAAAAAAAAAAAAGATTTAAAAGAACAACTAAAAAAATTAAATTAAGAGCAATCAAATATATGTTGATTGTTAAGTTAATGTACCAAACTTGACACCTACGGGGCACCTATCTCAACTCAAGTTCTGAAACCCATAAATTGTCAAGAGATAATAATTAAAAAATATAACTAAACAACTAATTAATACATTTTATTTCACTTTTGATTAAGAAAGTGAAATAACTAATAAATAACTAAATAACTAATATTTCTAGACTTAATCATCCGCTATCAGAAAATATTGTAGATATAGGTTATAGATGTATTATCTTTTGATGTTTCCAAATAAAAAAAAATACGGATGAGGATGAAGAATAATCACAGAAATGAATAACGGTATTTGAAAGGAATGATATTTTTTTAAAACAAAGAATATATTTCGTCAAAAACATATGAGTTCCGCAGGGGGAAAATATTATTCGTGCCTCTAATGGTTAGGCTGAAACATTGCTTTTTCTCTTTACTTTTTTTAATACTCAGATTTATTGCAAGATTAGTCTCAAATTAAAACCTCGATAGTGCCCAAAGCCCCTCCTAGTCCCCCATTTTCACCCCAATCTTGATTAATAGTGAGCTCTTTCTTAGGTGCTCAGTGCTCACGGTCCAAATTTAATAATAATTATTTTTATATTTTTATTTTATTAGATATAAAATTAAAAATAAAAATAATTTATTGGCCATCACTTAATAAGTCTACTAACTAAAAATTTATCTAGACTATCAAAACTGGATTTTAACATCAAGATCTCACCGCAGCAATGAGCATAGAAACTGTATCCGTTAATAGTGCGCGGTACTAATAGTGATAGATGAATATTTTTTAGCACCGGACGTTTAAAAGAACAATAAAGCAGTGACCAACATGAATGATTTTTTTTTTTAATTGGGAAGAGAAAAAAATGGAGGAAAATACCTATGCCATACCTTTATCAACACAATCATTTCAAGCTTCTAACTTGGTTTCTATTGGTTGCTAACTTATTCAATAGACCAGCCAGGCTCTTCTTCTTACCTAACCTTTGAGATCTATCATCATCCTTCTCTTTTGACCGTGATGGAGGTTCCGGCGAGTGTCACTGCTTGGTGGCCGACCACTCTCGTCGGCTCCAATGATGGTGGCTCTGACCTAATGAGGTGATGAAAATTGAGCTTTGCTTTTCTGCCCTTCACCTTGAAAGTAGCTCTATCATAAGCCAAAGCTGCATCCTCTTCCCTTTCGTAAGTCCTTAACCATGTTCTCACACCATTCCTCGCCGAATCCTGGATCTCCACCACAAACTTTTCCCTACAGCCGCCGCCTCACACCTCTGTAATTCCTCCATCTAGGTGGCGCGTTCCCTTTATATGCCACAAATTGATCTGCAACATTGTTAACATCAGCCCCACTTAGTGAAATAATCTGTGACCACTAAGATGAATGAGTGGCCTTTGGATGAGGCTGGATAGATTTTTCCTATTACATCCATAGCCCATCCTCGAAAAGGCTGTGGTTTGATAATTGGATGCATGTCTGATACTGGCACTTGTTGTGTTGGCTCATGAGTCTGATATTTCTTGCACCTCCTAGCATATTCGATGCAGCCTCTTGTCATCGATGGCCAATAATATCCATGCCTACACATTAATGATTGCATCTTTGGCCCTGACTGATGAGCCTCGCAGACTCCCTCATATACCTGTCTTAAAAGCTCCATATAATTAATAAAGGCCAAACGCCTAAGTAATAACCCATTAAGACCCTTTATATATAAATCATCTCCAATTAAAATGAAGTGTTCAGTGCGTATCCTTATTCTATAAGGGTATCGTTGATTGGGATCTTGTAGATAACTTTTAAAATCATCTCATCAATCCCTGGCTAACCCTTGCGAGACTACACTGCATTGTACTATTAAACCATGTTGAGCGACTAAGGGATGTTCTTTTCGTTCCACCACAATTACCTTTTTGGTGAGTTCAGGTGATAGCTTTAGCCTTGATGCTATTTAAGCCAGTTCATTGGTTTCCTAATTTTGAGTTTGAGGAACGTGAGCTAACATTACTGTTTTAAACTCTTCTAGAATCTAGGAAGCCCCAGCATAATACATCATTAAAGCTGGGCTTATATACTTGTACTCGCCAGTTAATTGTTTGATGACTAATTGAGAATCCCTTTTTATAACCACATCACGGGCTTTCATTTCTTGAAGAATCTCGAGCCCTGTAAGCAGTGCTTCGTATTTTGCCTGGTTGTTAGTATACTCGAAATTTAATTGAAGAGATAGTATCGTTTTATCCTCGTAGGAGAAGTTATCATTATATCAGCCCCAAGTGCTTATTCAGTACTAGATTCATCAAACTTAAGCACCCAATGCCCTGGATCTATTGAGAACACAAGTAGTTCTTGCTCATCTTCAGGGAGCCCAGCTAAGGGATGATCAGCCAGAAAGTCTGCTCATGCTTGGCTCTTTACTGATTTTTGAGACAAAAATATTAAAAAAATTCTACCAAGGCCAAGCTCTATTTCCCTATACGGCCCATCATAATAGGTTGATTAAGCATGTATTTAATTAAATCAAAATAGGAAAGCAGATACACAACTGCATTCATTATATAATGCCTTAACATAGTACAAGCATAATATAGCGTCAAGTACGCTATTTCCACAACTGAGTATCTAGACTCTATGGGAGTTAAACACCTACTTAAATAATAGACTGCCTACTCACGTCCCCCATCAACATTTTGGGCTAACATACAACCTATGGACATAGTGGTAGAAGCTAAATACAATAAAAATAGGGTGTTCTCCCTCGGGGCTGCTAAGATTAGAGGTTTTGTCAAGTATTATTTAATCTTGTCAAAGGCCACTTGATGATATTCAGTCCAGGTGAATTCCTTAGCACTTTTAAGTTTCAAGAGTTTAGAAAACTTTTTCATTTTCCTTGCAAGGTTTGGAATGAAATGCTTGAGATAATTAACTTGCCCACTTGTTGCTCGGTGCCTTTGCCTCTAAGATAGCCTATGCTTTATTTTGGTCTACTTCAATCCCCCTTCTATGGCCTAGGAATCTAAGGAAGTTACCTGTAATTACACAAAAAGCACACTTAAGTGGATTTAACTTAAGGCCGACCTCCCTCATTTGGAGGAAACTCGTCCTCAAATGCTCAATATGATCATGTGTGTTCTTAAATTTTATCATTATATCATCTATGTATACTTCTAGATGCTTCCCTATCATATCATGAAAGGCAGCATTCATAGCCCGCTAATAGGTGGCCCAGTATTTTTCAGATCGAAAGGCATAACTACCTATTCGAATGTTCTAATGGAGACCGGGCACCTGAAAGTAGTCTTGTGAATGTCTTTTTTTATGATAAATATTTGATTGTATCCAAAGAAGCAATCCATAAATGACAATAAAGTGTTTTTGACCCCATCTTCTATTAACCTGTCTGCAATAGGCATTGCATACACGTCTTTAGGTGTGGCTGTGTTTATGTTTTGAAAATCTACGCAAACTCACAGCTTCCTGTTCTTTTTGATTATTGAGACTATGTTTGAGAGCCACTGAGCATACCTACAAGGCCATATGAATTCGGCCCATAGGAGGCATTTGATCTCCTCCTTTACTTATACCTCCACTTTGACTGACATTCTCCTGGCGTGCTGTTAGTGTGGTCTATAGTTTGGCTTTATAAGAAGCCTGTGTTTAACCAGCTGTTTAGCCAGCCCTGGCATTTCATCATAGTCCCTTGCAAAGCAGTCCTTGAATTCTAATAGTTTTAGCTTAACGGCATTCTTTTGTTCTTTATCTAGTAGTAAGCTAATAAATGTGATCCTTGGCTCTTATGGGGATCCAAGGTTTACTTCTTCTAGTAGATTCTGGACTTCTGGGGCTATGTCTTCAAATTTCAGAGGTGCAGGGTCTAGCTCATACAGTTGTGCTACCTTTTAGTTTTCATCTTCATATACAACTTTGGTCCCATAGATCTTGGGTCCATAGTCTTCTAGTTTCTCTTGTATATTGTGCAACTATAGCTTTTGAATGGTTGCAGCTGCTACGGCCTTTTCTCTATTTATTTTAGTCATCAACCAGTTTTATGATGGGCTTGTGCCTTTGTGAGGTTAAAGGCATTATAGCATCCGTTGTTGTTCTGTATGAAAGGATTCCTTGAGCCTTTTGAATCATAAACAGGCCCACATCAGCATCATAATACCTTATATCTACGAAATTAGTGGCTGATGTGAATGGATTATCTTCAGCCCAGACCACTTATACCTCCTTTCCTTTCCACATAAGGAGTATTTAGTGTAGTAAAGAAGGTATATACTCATTAGCATGGATCCAATCCTAACCTAGGAGGGCCTGGTATTGTGCTATGGTACTGATCATGAAAAAGGCCGTTAGTAATGACTTGTTCCTGACATCAACCTATAATGGTAGTACACCGAGGACCTCAGATGCGGTCCTAGTAAACTCTATAACTGATACCTCAGTCGGCATCAAATCATGCTCCTCTCATCCTATCTTGATCATCATGCGGGCTGGTAGAATGTTTACCGTTGAGTCATTATCCACAAGGACCCTAGTCATTGGCCTCCTATGAAATGTGCCCTGATGTATAAAGGCTTCAAGTATTGAGTCATCTTCACACTAAGTTTCTTTAGGACCACCTACTTTGATTTTCCTTCTATTACTTAAAAAGTGATTTGGCAAACGAGCTCTGCAATCTCTTCTTTCTATGCCTACATGCTTATAGGTTCATAGCCTTCTTCTTCTCTTGGCTCCATTAGGCAATATTGATACAGGCCCGTCTGTGTCTGCCCTAAAGAGTTCTATTTTTACTGGCCCTCGGTACCACCAGTGGTGGATAAGAATTAAGAAGGTAGTGTTAATGAGACCACACAATAGAGGTTGAGCAGTATCTCTCCAACGTGAATGGTCCCATTTTTCTAATTTTTGACCTCACTTTCTTCATCTTGATCCTCAGTGGACTTCCTTCTGAACTTGCTAACCTCCTGTTGAATGTTGTGGCCATCTTATACCTCAATTTTTTACTGTTTGGGTTCTTGTTAAGGCAGTCGGGAACTTTTTGTGCCTCATGTCTCTCCATTTTAGAAGTGGCATGTTGCCAGGTGATGTAACGAACCTACCTGAGCCCTTAGTGGCTTTTGGTTTTGAAGGAAACTTTATGTTACTTTTTGATGTCATTAATAGCGATAACGATAGGCCATTGAGGCCTATATCCTAGTCTGTTAGTGTCCCCTTGAATGGTTTACCTGTTCTAGGGGGCATTGAGTATTTTATGAAGAAGTTAAATCTGCCAGATGGTTCCCCTAGGCGATCCTAAACTACCTTAAATCCATCTAGCTCTGTTATCATCAATCCCCTTGAGTGAATATCCCATCCTAAAGGTCATTTTTCATTTTTCTTCATTTTTTATTGACTGTCTTCATTTTAGGTTTCCCCCAAGTAGTCCCAGACTACCTTGGAGCCATCTAAATTTTTTATATTTTGCCCCTCTGGGCCTACGTCCCATTTAAAAGACTTGTTCTTACTGGACCGGCTCGTAAGTTTTCCCAAGCGATCCTATAGTATCTTAGAGTTTCCTTGAGTCACTTTATCCCTGTTCTAGATGTTCTAAGGTCTCCCATCCTTTTACCTACTATCACTCTTCCTAGGCCGTCGTTTGCCAGAGTTTATCTCTACCATGTTGACCATAGCAAACGGTAAGAACGAGTTCTCATCTATCATCATGGATTCTTCCTTAGGGAATTTTAGAACTCCCTTGTTGATCCGGTCTTGGATGATGTTCTTAAATCCCCAACATGCCTTGGTGTTGTGACTCTACGAATGATGGTACTTACAGTATTCTTTCCCTCTTTGTTCTTCCTTCAAAGGGATTTTATGATCCATGGGCAAGGAGACAAAGTTTTCTTTGAGGAGAAAATCAAAAATTTTCTTTATTTTAGTAGTATCAAAGGTGTACTAAACTGCATTTAGCCTTTTGGGAAGTTCTCCGGCCTTCCTTACTAAAGCTGGGCATATGCAGTTACCAGAATTCTTTAGTTTTGCCACCGCCACATCTAGGTCTCCAAAATAGGTCTCTACTGTCGTCCATTGGTGATGGTCCTCTTCCTTGAGTAGCTCCTCATAACCCTATACCTTGGCCGCGAACTCATAGAAATCTTAAAATTTCATCCCTTAAAATTTCTTTCAAAGTTCTATATCTAGTCCTGCCTGTGCCAGCTTGACGAATTCAATTTTTGAAAGCTGCACGTGGCACCTGCTCCTCAGACATTTGAACCTCACCAAGTATTGGTCTTCGTCTCTCCAGCCCGTTGTGTGAGCTTGTAAAGTTCTACTATGCTAACCTTTGACTCTGATTTATAAAACTGGATGTGGAACTTTTGCTCTATTTCCATCCAACTAATGAATGAGTTATGAGATAGTGACGTATACCATGTGAACACCGGGCTCATGAGAGTATTCGAGAACAATCTAACTTCAAGCTAGTGAAGTTCTCATAATTAGCAATCTCACCGCATTAGATTGTGAACCTCTACCAATGTGCTCTAGTGTTGATTACGTTTCGTCTCCTGAGAACAA